GCATGTCCAAAACAAAATAACAACTTTCTATCAAAAACACGACTGAATGTTTTCCTAATCAAATGTACATTTTTGGACTAGGCCCTGAGAGACCCATTCATCATATATCGGCTTGCATTGAGACAAGAAGTCATAGAAAGACCCTCCATAAATCACACCCTGCTTTATCCTCCTTCACATCATCAGGAAATCATACACTTCTATCTTGTACAGCCAGAAGAGTCATCGATCAGTTTTTGCACCCGAGTCACAAAATCAGTGATTTTTAGTGATATGTTGGATTGAATTTTTTTTTTTACTCATAAATAAGAACAAGCAGATTTATGTTGGAAATGAAACAATTCACATAGACTAGGAAGCTCATGAATGTGAGACTAAGAGGTCCCTCCTTACTCTGCGTGTCATCAGGATGAGCTTCACTATGAGGAAACTGTGAATAATGTGGGGTTTTTTTGTCACTCATAACAGTGAATACTTCCTCTGAATAAGAATTTACATCATTACATGGTTTGTTTTGGGATTTAAGCATTTAAATATGTATTACCTTGTTAATATGAACTGGGTGGAAATATAATCAATTTAATGGTAAAGACCAAAAGAGGGGAGAATTTAGTTTCTAGTTTATTAAGAATTTGATCAGAAAAAAAAAACGTTCACAGTCATTGTCACACATTGTGACATATTTACAGAGACAAAACCATGTCTACGTAACAAACTTTTGTTACGTAGACATTACATTTAATATTTAATATATTATATTATAAATGCATGACTGCAAGGTTTAAGTATAAGGTTAAGAGAATTCACCTTAATGCAAGCGAATGTCCCCTGAAGTGACAGAAACAGGATAATGTGTGAGTGTGTGGCGGATTCCCCTCTAATTGCCATCTTTGTTGTAGTGTACACAGCTCTTACGTCACGCCACACTGAGGGAGCTCTTGTCAACACCGGGTGACCCACAGGGAGGAAGTGATGTGTGAAGTAATGCAAAACACGAGTTTAAGGAAAATAATGAAAAACAAGCAGCAGCTCCCCCAGCTGGATGTGCTGCTTAAAACAAAGACAAGCAGAGAATAAAACTTAACCTACAGACGATTTTTGTATCCATAAGTTATAAAGACCTAAAAAAAATGTTGTATTCTTTAATAAATTACTCAACAAAAAAGCTCAGAATAACATTAAACTATTGGCTGACAATTAAATGTTTATATGGAAGTTTTGTTATGCAAAGATGATGAAAAAACGTAATGTCCTAGCTCCCCAATGTGCTGGATTTAGTGTAAATTATGTTTTTTTTATGGAAACATGCATCATATGCCTGCGAGCACATGATACACAGATTTTTACCAATTATATATTTATTTTCGTTAAGAAACATTTCAACAAAAATCTTTCTAACTGTATTTTTAACTCATTTTTTCCATTGTGTGTTTCTCTTTCCTGCTTCATGATATGTGTGCACATTTGACCTTTTCTGTGTGTATTGTTCAAGATTGAATAGAATATTGTCCAGTGAGAGGCTTCCACTTGTAACAATGTAACAATTGTAACAATTTTAAAAGTTTAGTACATTTGCTGATGCTGATAAGCAGGCCTCTGCTTCCACCTGCTGGCTAAAAGACACACACACACACACACACACACACACACACACACACACACACACACAGTCGTTTTAGAATAACTGCATATGTTGTTAAAATACAGTCCTTATGTAGGTAACAACTTACTTTGCACGTTTAACATAAAAACGATTCAACTTTGTTTTTTAAGTGCTACAAAGTTGTGAGGCACAGGTGGGTCACAGAGTCCACTCAGATATAAAAATGCTTCTGTGAACGGAGATGGGGGCAAGAACGGTCAAGATTCTCACAGCTTCACAGCTTGAGGTATGAAGCTGTTGAGGAACCGCAAGGTTTTTGGTTTTGGTTCGTCTTCTATATCTTATCCCTGATGGTAGGAAGGAAAACAGGCTATAATAAGGGTGCGAGGGTGTCCTGGATGATGATGGAAGCCCTGCAGATGTAGTGCTGGTTAAAGATTTCTAGCATGGAAGTAAGGGTGGCAACAATGATCTTTGCTGTTCTCACAAGACTGTCTAGATATTTCTTTTCAGACATTGTAATGGTTTCAAACCACACAGCATTTTAGTTGATTATTAAACTGGGAACAGGATCCATGATGATCAAAGCCGATGGTCTTCTGGGCTGTGTCATCATCAGCACAGCACAGAAGGTCCTCGGCGGTGCACTCCTGTCCTTACAGGAGCTCTGCAACAGCAAAGCCCACAGTATCCTGAAGGCAACATCCCACAGCACATCCCCTGTTTCAGCCGTTACCCTCATGAAGGCAGTACAAGACCATAAAAGCCAAAACAGTCAGACTGAAAAAAAAGCACACAATCCACGGTTGGTGCAATTATAAATAAAATGATAAAACAACTGAATACAATAAGTAAACAATGGTATGTCCCCTTTCACTAAACCGTTCAACATCGGGCTAATAGCTTATATTAACTTCAAAAATCCAGCTGCATTAGTAAAATGCTCCCGATTAAGAACGACTTCCAAGAATATTAGAGCATATTTGAGACTTTTGAAAGTTTAAAATCGGGGTGTTTATCAGCAAAAGTCTTGCAACTACCAGTCTGAATATTAAATCCAAATGAACAGAAAAGTAAACGTTTTTAAGGTGAAGATTGTTAAATTATTAATTATCCTTTATTTAATGTAAACTAAAATGTTTTCTTCAAACAGTAAGTCCAGCAATGTTCAAGTAAATGTAACTAGGGGAGAAAACCATGAAGTACTTATAATCTAATGCATGTCATGTGGTAATTTAAGGCAGTTTTTTAACTGGTTCCTGAACTTCATTTGTTTTCAAGCGTTTAAAA